ATTAGAAAGCCTCCACCTCAGGTCCCTCAGCACGGAGTACCACCATATAACCAATCTGGATCCAGTGGAACGCACCCTTGAAGTCGACCTACAAGATAAAGAGAAGTGGGTTGCTTGTGGAGATGGACACATCTTACAAACACGAGATATGTGCAGGGAGGAGATTCGGCAAGGGCTGAATTTTAGACCCCAGCCGGGACCTCGAAACATTTGGCGAGACGATACGCTGGCATACTTTGACCGTATTCAGTATGAGTATGGACCCCCTTCGCGTATATGGGAGTGGGATCCGTTGAATGAAGATATGTAGACGCGTTGTTGATCTAGTATGGGGAGAAAGACTTACCCTAGGTAGATATTAAATTATCTATTCTTTAATCGGGACCAAGGTATGCTTTTCAGGAACAGTAGAAGGACTAGTTCTAGGATTGCTTAGTAGTAACTTTATTAAATAGGATACATTTATGGAGTATAATATCTTATTCTATCGATGCTACTCATTTTTCTTCGTCTGTCAAACTAACTGGGTTATTATTGAGAAGCTATAAACGACTCCTAAGAACTGCCATCGACAGTCAGAAATGCTTACTAGCAGTCAAATTTAAACCTCAGATGTAACCCAGGGTTTATCTAAACTTATCAAGAATCATCATGGGCCAGTATATCTCGTTTGACTCGAAATTGAAACTATTTTGTGTCGTTGTCAAGCAGGTCCGGATATTGCGACGGGAATGCGGTAACCAGGGTGATGATTTTGAGTTTGTTGAGTAAGACGCGTTTCAGACACTCACAGTGGGAACACGATTCACTAACGGTGCGATTCTCAATGCCGTGCAATACATTAGATCACGATCAAATCGGCAATTAAGTATAGTCAATCAATGTACATTGTTCAAGGAATGTCTATGGTCTAAGTCTAAGTCTACTTTCTAATCGTATCTCGTCAAAGACGACCGGTCGCACCCAATCGACACAGGTGCATCGCCCTCCATTAACATAAGGATCGTTTCGTTATTATTCGCGTTGGATCGTTCGTCATATGCTACCGGTAGCAGCGCGGTCTGTTTTCTTCTTCTCTTTCTTTACTGGCGGGTGTTGATTGGAATTCGAGTCTCATTGGAATCTAACATCTATGCCTTAGCTCCTGTAATATTACAAATCTTAGTCAAACAAGTGTTCTTGCGCTGTCCACGAATGGTGTCCAGTTCCGATTTTACTCAGTCCTGGGTCGCTTCCGGGACTCACCATTCTCTCCCTGCTCATTGAAGTACTCCAGGCTTCCCTTGGGGTCAGCCTTCATGGTCTTTCCACCCTCCTGCCATCCGGCAGGGCACACCTCGCCGTACTCGTCGGTGAACTGGAAGGCCTTGACGAGGCGGATCGTCTCCTCAACGTCGCGGCCGACGGGGAGGTCGTTGACGGTGATCTGGCGGAGGACGCCCTTGGGGTCGATGATGAAGAGGCCGCGGAGCGCGATACCCTCGTCCTCGATGAGCACGCCGTAGCTGCGAGAGATCTTGGTGGACTTGTCGGCGATGAGGGGGAGCTCCAGGTCGGGGCCCAGACCGCCCTGCTTGCGGGGCTTCTCAACCCACGCGAGGTGGGTGAAGTGGGAGTCGGTGGAAACGCCGAGAACGGTGGTGTTGATCTCGCGGAAGCGGTCGAGAGCGTTGTTGTACTGGATGATCTCGGTAGGGCAGACGAAGGTGAAGTCCATGGGGTAGAAGAGAAGAACGACCCTACAGAATCTCAGTCAGTATATCCGTCCATCCAGGTTCTCAGGGGAGGGGAGCGTGAAATCGTACCATTGTCCCTTGAAGTCAGAGAGCTTGATGTCTCTGAACTCACCTCCAGGGAAGAGGGTAGTAGCCGAGAAGTCGGGAGCAGGGCGCTGAACAAAAGCTGAAGACATTGTGAAGATTGGTTTTCGTGATATCGATTGAAGGAATCTAGAAGGACGAAAAGAAGGGGAGGGAGAAAAGGTTTAAAAACGAGAAGCTTCGACGGAACGCGACTAAAGGAAACGGAACGGCTCAGGAAAAAGCAATCAGTTGTGGAGCCCGCGTTATCAGGGGCCGGGCCCGGTCATGGAACAAGGTGGAAATCATCAAATTTTAGCGCCATATTAGCTGATGCCGTGATAAACATCGGTGTTCACGGCTGAGCAAGTTAAAGTAAAAAGTAAATTTATGTAATTAGTGCTATTGACTCACGGAATTCTTAGTGGCACTTCTGATGGCGGTGACGCAAATGTGGACTGACTTATCTCTAGACGGTGTGAATGCCGAACAACGCGTTCCAGAAGAGAGAAAAACACGTGCGGTGCCTGCGGCGTCTGCGGAGACGGTGCAATTTGATTCCAAACCCGCAGCGCCAATCAGCGCTTATCAATCGTCTCCATTTATATCCGGCCCGGCTTCGGAGTAGCTCGGTTCGGAAAACCGAGCTCACCCTACACCAATGTTATCAGCACACATCTTATCAGTTGCGACATCGCTGTAACTCTTTGGAATCTAATGTTGATCATGATTGTTTAATTATTAATCTGATGAAAAGAAAAAGTCTAATGTTTTACTCCATTGCTAGTTTTTGTACTGTTTGTGGCGAGAAGATTGGCTTCGTGGATTATCTCTGACATGTCGTCCAGCGCTAACTGCGGACTCAGTGCGCAAATCCTCAAGGCTACTTTTCCTCGAACCTTGGTAGTCAAGATGCCAGCCTTGTTACTCGAGATGAGACTCTTTGAGATATCAGTGTTGATAATCTCAAGCTCATCTTCTGTTAGGCCCTCAGGCGCATAACGGAATGTTATGACGCCCAAGCTAGCAGCGCTGACAATCTCCCAGTCAGGTAGTTTTCTCAACTCCTCCTCCGCCCGCTCAGCAAGATCGAATCCATGATCAATCATCTCCCCAATCCTCTCGACACCAATGACCCTGAGTGTAAACCACAACTTCATAGCCCGCGATGCAGGTCTAGTAAGTTCCATGCTGTAGTTCCAAAAGTTTGGAATATCCTCATCTTCAATCGCTACGCCATCACGCAGATAATCTCCCTCGTTCGCAAAGCTTCGGACCAGATTCGCCTTGTCCTTTACCAGGAGAAGACTGCAGCTGTAGGTTTGGAAGAGCCACTTGTGCGCATCCCATGACATGCTGTCGGCGTACTTGAGCCCGTCGACTGTCTCGTGGCGTGTCGCGGATAGAGTTGCTGAAGCCCCGTACGCGCCATCGACGTGCAGCCAGATCTGCTCCCTTTTACATATCTCTGCGATTTCGGGTAGAGGATCGATGGCGCCCGTGTTTGTTGTTCCACAAGTCCCAACCACCAAAAATGGCACAAGACCTTGTTTGCGATCTTGCTGAATTGTTTTGGCCAAAAGAGCCGGGTCAAGTCTAAAGTCTTCATTTGCAGGCAGTCGTCGGAGCTGCTCTTTATCGAACCCTAGCATCCTCATAGCTTTCGCAACAGAATAATGCGTCTGGTCCGAGAGATAGGCCACGGCCTTGCCCGTTTCACCATGTGGCACAAAACGATCTCGCGCAAGCACAATCCCCATCAGATTCGCCATTGAACCACCAGAGACACAGATCCCCCCTGCACTCGCGGGAAACCCAACCCTCCCAGCCAACCACTCAATCAACGTCTTCTCAATAACAACAGGTCCTGAGGCCTGAAGCTTCGAAGCACCGAGCGCATTAAATGCACTGGCTACTATGTCGCCTAGCCAAGCCACGGGCGATGTAGGCGAGGGTATGAAGCCCATGAAGCGAGGATGGTTGACGCGCATGCGATGATCGAATGCGGTGAAGGCTTCTTGGAGGACTTGGTCGATTGAGTGAGCTTGACCTGGTGTTCCTATTTTTTGGAGGTAGGGAACGTCTGAGGGTTGTGCGACTTTGATAATGGGGTCGTTTTTGACATCTTGCGTTGTTGATGCTAAACGTGGGGTTATGGATTGGAGAGCTGAGCATACCGCTTCTAGCTCGCCGCTGTGATAAAGAGAACCCATGTTGTAAACTGCGAAATTGGCTGTTTGTGTTTTCAATTCTTGATGTCACCACGGCCATCTTAAATATCTACATCCATAACGTCTCCATTCTTTGGATTCGCATATATCTCCATCAACCAATATTACCCTCGCGCCCTCTATGTCCAGATCAGTGGGGCTATTCATTCAACTTGGCATGTCAATCGTGCGCCTTTCGATGAAATTGTAGATCCCGTCAGCATTTGGCAAATGCTTAGCTGTCATAGGCTGTGAAACTTGAAACTAGCGACGTTGGATTATCTGACGAGACCCGTCTTGCCGTTTTGGGCAATTTTTGGAGAGGTTCGGATATCCGAGATCTGCTGATGGAGTGATTTCTAAGCGGGGATGGATTATGGATGTTACTTGATGGAATGGCGAAGTGGCGAGGGTGTCGTTAGCGAGGACGATACGTTGGAGCTGGTTTTGTTGCATATGTATTATGGTGATGATGACAATCTCAAGGCGTATGGTGGGTCTTTTTCGAAGTATCACATTGGCATCGCACTAAGCACAAACGTTGCCCAGACCGAAGCACTGAGTGGTTATTGAAAGGGCTTAATAGAGGAATGAGTAAGTTTCAAAAGCTGTTCATTGGACTCTACTTGGTAACGAGAGAACGCCAATCTCGACATCGTGTTGGTTAACCACTATGTTTTGATTGGTTCAGAGTCCTCAGGTATCTATCAGGCTGAAACTTCACCTCTCGTCTTTCTTGTCCTCCAAGACACAACAGGCGCCCCTGGAAGCCATCCTAACGAGTAATAAATCCGCTTCTTCCACCACTTATGTCTAAATGTCACCCAAGCTGAGATATGTCCGCATGGACATGGACGATCCCGCGTGAGAGAGAAATGATACTGAACTGGAGCAATGGGAGCGATCTTGAAACAAAGCCACTATCTATCGCGAAATCGCAAACTTCATCCTTGAGCATCGCCCCGGTAAGGCCGTGGAGCTGCATAGAATCATGAAGGGAGGCTATAATGTCTTCTATCGATTGGAGTATAAGGATGGTACCTCTGCCGCTGTCAGAATTCCTAGTCCAGGTATGCATAGCCATCCGACGAAGGCAGCCAGAGAAAGCTAACAGGTGACAAAAGCAACCAAGTTCCCGGACGAAAAGGTTCGCTATGAAGTCGCAACAATGAGATATGTCGCGGCCAACACCACTATTCCAGTACCCAAGATATACCACTGGGGAACGGCAGAAGAAAACCCATTGGGACTTTGACCGTTTATGATAATGGAATACCTTGAGCCTGACAAAGCTTCGTCTCACGCCCTTAATGATCGAACACTGGCCCCGACGGACTCCCATCCAATCGACCCCAACATCAGCATCGAGAAGCTTCAGTTTCTATACCGCCAAATGGCAACATCCTTCTCCAACTCTCAACACTCTCTTTCAGAAGAAGTGGTTCCCTGGTTGAAGATACAGAGGGAGATATAGTTGTATCTGGAAGGCCACTTATGCAGAACATGAACTCCATCCTTGATCTCACCGGCTCACCGGCAAGTCCGCTACCTAACAAAGATCAAACTTTCACCACATCAACTGAGTGGTATTTAGCCATGGCTGAAATGAACCTGATACAGCTGGCCTTTCAGCAAAACAATGCTGTTGAAGATGAGGATGATGTTCGCGATAAGTACGTACGTGGCTTGTCAGTTGTTTCGGAACCTCGCCTCAGAAGGACGCCTGGAAGCCAAATCTAGAAAAAACGGCGGAACCGGCTTCCGGCTCTTCTTAGAGGATTCGCGACCCTCAAGCGTCTTGGTCGGCAAGGACCTCAAAGTCGTCGGCGTTATCGACTGGGAATTTGTTTATGCAGCTCCGTCAGAGTTCTCCTTCGATCCTCCCTGGTGGTTTTCTTGAAATACCCAGAGTACTGGCCAGGTGGATATGAAGAGTGAATAGAGCATACGAGCCACGCTTCAAAAGCCTTATTTCTGTCCTTCAGCACAAGGAGAAAAAGTTTTGATTAGGGGGAAATATCGAAGAAGGTCTGAAAAACCTATAAGTCTCTGAAAACGAGACTTTCTCACTTTCACAGCAGATACAAGAGAGCTAGGAAAGTAAGAGGTAAGCTAATTAGGTATCCTGAGATAAAACCAAACCCATATATAATATGCTAATATATGCCGCTTTTATGGCACCTCTTAGCCCTCTATTAGCCCTCTATTAGCCTTTCTATTAGCCTGTATTTAAGCTACTTATTTTAGCTTTTAGTCTTACAAATAGTACTAGAACCTTAAATATTACTATACTTAATTAGCCTCTAGAGATATCTAAAAGTAAAGGAATATACTTACCTATCTCTCCCTTACCTTATAAAATATTTACTGCAACCTAACTGATTATATATACTTAAGTATTAGTAAAATTTACTTTTAAACTATTATTAACAACATAAGGTATAATATTACTAATATAAAAGAAGTAATAGACAAATTATAGTAACATTCAAGCTTCATTTAACCAGATTTCCCTTTTATTTTTAATATATATACTAATAGATTAAAATAAGTCTAGTAAGTTGATAGTGTAGAAATTATATATCGCTAACTTTGTAGAACAGTCTAGAGTCTTTATACTCCATGACATACAGCCCTGAAGCAATAACACCCCAAGTTGACGCAAAAATTGTTCGAACTTCGAAATCATCTTGACACACCAGCTTCGGCATCCACCGCTATGTCAGCACCTCGCGATCCCGATCATAGCCATAAAGCTAGTAATGACACGGGCACTCTTCCTTAGAAAATCCGCTCCAAGCCTGGTTTTGAAGGATTTCTTCTTCCAGCAACAGAAGACGAGATGTGGAGTGCGGGAAGGTTCGGGACAATCGTCATTATTAATGGCAGCTCTCACCGATGTGACGCTCTGATCATAGAGCAATCGGGAGTACGAGCACTTGAGTTGGATCAACTTTCCAAGGATCAAGTTCTATCTAGAGCCAAAGAAGTACAATCTTTTGAGCCTCTCGGATGGCTTCGGGATGTTATTGTCAGCTTGGCCTTACCAAGCTTCTAGTGGGCGGCGGTGAAGCCTGCCAACATATGTGGTGAATTCCGACGGGACCCCTTATTCGCTTCACTCTTCACGCAGCAAGATATCACACAAGCCCTGGCTTCAGGACAGCTCTAGACAGGGTGTTTTCGTCGGACAATTCATCTATCAAGACTATTCTACATAACCGCCAACAGCAGTACTAGCCGATAGCAGCAGAGTCATGCGCCCTTGCAGGCAGTCACACACAAGCTCTTAGCCTGGCTTGGGCTATGGTCCGTGGAGGGAAAATCATCATTCTTGACTAGCTCAAAAGCAGGTAAGCTTGCTTTCTTCCGGAATATTTATATTTGCTTTGGAAGTAGATAAAAAATGAAAGTCTTGCCGGGACTTGAGCTGACTACATTGAAGAGTGTTTCTAACTACCAGAAATTGTGGGCAAGTATGATTTAAGAAATACAGCGTGCCTTGGGTTATCACTACAGTAACAGTCTTTCACTGCATCCACTTCTTCACCTTTCTCAGTCGATCCTTCGCCTCCTCCAACACACCATCCTCTTTGCATATCGCGAATCGCAACCAGTTCTCCACGCTTTGCTGGTTTTGCGGCGTATAGAACTCACTCGGTGGGATGGCAGCCAATCCGAGCTCCATGATGAGGAAATAAGCCAGCTTGAAATCTCGAGGTCGGGTTCTTATATTCTCGGCGTAAGGATAGCCCTCGGGCAGGTTGACTTTGGCAAAGTTGACCATGACAAAGTATCCTCCTTCTGGCTTTGAGTAAGGCAGTCCGAGCTCGTCGCAGACTTGGCAGAATCGGTCGATCTTGCCCAACATGCTCTGTCGAGACTTGTTCCAGAAGTCGTGCTTTTCGGCGTCGTTGAACCCCACGGCGCACGCCTCTTGCAGTGGACTTGGCGAGGTGTAGCAGATGCGTGTATGGGCCGCGGCGACGTATTTGATCAGATGAGGAGGGCCGATGAGGAAGCCAACGCGCCAGCCGGTTGCGTAGAAGGTCTTGCCTGCACTACAGACGGTGAGAGTGAGATTGTAGACTTCGGGGGATAAACCAGCTGTGCGCGTCATTGGTGCGTAATATAAGCTGTCGTAGACCTCATCACTCAATATCAATATATTGTGGCGAATGGCCAGTTGTGTGATCGACTGAAGCTCGCGCTGGGTAAATACCTTGCCGACGGGATTGTGAGGTGTGTTGATAATGATCATCCTGGTCCGTCCATTGATGGTCGCTCTAAGGCTCTCCATGTCGAGTTGCCAGTCACCGGCAGAGGTTGTTTCCGAACTACCCTGGACTGGAGGATGCAGAGGGACATAACGTACAACTCCGCCAGCCATCTCAACATTGCTGATGTATTGATCAAAAAAAGGCTCAAAGACAATGACCTCATCGCCTTGCTCGACAAAGGCCATCAACGCGCTCAGGATACCCTCGTTGGCGCCCGTAGTGATTGTTACTTCTGTTTCGGCATCGATTTGCCTTCCCAGACGTTTTGAGTAGTTTTCTGCGATGGCCCTTTTCAAGCTAGGCTTGCCTTTAGTCGGAGCATACTGGTTGCAGTCTACTCGCAGGAGCGCATCCCTGGCCGCATCGATGATGAACTCTGGAGGATTGTATCCGAAGAATCCCTGTCCCATGTTGACTATGGGCTGAACGGAAGACTTAGCTGCAGCCTCGTTGATCATCGACCAGACATCCTGCGTCTCCGTTGCCACCCGCCGAGCTGGGCGAGGTTTGAATATGCTAGACATGGCGAGTGACCCCATGGAAACGAGTTGAGATCTCTAGAGGCGTTTCGGGTTGGATCCTGGTTCTATTATCAAAATCTAACTTGGCAACTTGGGTTGTCCAATGATGATAAGTTAGAATAAATTCGATATCCCCTGGTAACGTACGAGTAATTTCTATAGTGAATAGTAGTTGTGGTGGTAGGATCTGGTTTGAAGAACGGATATAAATAGCTTAAATTAGTGATAAGACTTAGAGAACTGTGCCATTGATTTAGCGTCGGATGGGGGACTCGAAGTGGTCGGCTATGGGCATTTGGGCTAAATTTAGGAAGCCTGAAAATCGGGCAGATAGTCAACAGTAGTCCACAGATATGAAGTCTTGATGTAGGCGAAACATGATTGGTATTTCGGGGTCAATTTACGATTCAGATTTCGACCACGGATTACTAGTGACAGAGTGGCGCTTGATAAGATTCCTCAGCCTCATTAGACAGGCACGAACAATAGCCGAGCTCGGCAAATTCAGTGCGTCCTCGATCGAGAATAAATCGATTTAGGCGAGGAACAAGATTTCATTGCCTTCAACCCCACTAATCTGGTAAATCAATCTCAATGCGCTCAGATAAGGAAGCGATTGTGTCGGCTCGTGTTTCGAAGTAGTTCTAACAGATCAACGCGTCTCTCGTGGTATCTTTGCATTGAGAAAGCGGCCTTGAGCGCGGCATGGGCTCTGCGATAGTTCTCCCCTTGCTCGCACATGGTCTCGTACCGCTCCATGATCCAGGTCCGATGCAGGGCATCATCCGTCTCCAAAGCCGTGACAAACAGTGGCCATGCGAGGGCAGTCATGTCAGCTTTTCCCTCGTCAGCGTAGGTTTGGTGGCCAATGTTTAATATCCGACTCAGCGCGGCTCTCTGTCGGCTGTCAAGCAGCGCATCGCCCCTTACGATGCGGAAGTAGCATAACACAGCCGCGTGGTAATGTGCACAGATTATTCTAGTATTGACGACGAACGTGCGGTGCGGTCCAGATGGAACTACATGCAGGGTATGAGCAATGTCAAGGAACTCGGCGTAACGATCGGTCGTCGCGTTAAGTAGCTGTGCGACTTGGCGACGGGACTCCTCAAAGACCAACTCATCGCTTTCCCTCAGCGCCACAAGCCGTGATAGTAGGAATCTTATTTGGCCGGTGTTTCCGTAGAGATAAAACAGAGGCCGGCTGTGAACATCCTCAAGTAGCAGCTCGTGGGGAAGTTCACGATCAAAGTTATCACTGTAGGCACGATTCGCACGCTTCTGAAGAGCATCAAACCCACGAATTAGAGATCGTGCGTAATCTTCGTTCGGGTCAGCCAAAACCTCTCCGAGTAGCTCATTGAAGAAACCCCCAAATCCATTTAGAGCAGCGGCTCCGTCCTTGTAAGAAATCCAGACCACGATGCGTGAAGCAAAGTCAGAGATGGTCCAATTTTTGCTATGGACCGTGGGGCTTTGCAAACCATACTCCTGCGTAGGGCTCCAGATATGGCTGTCATCGTCTTCGACCATGTCTCGCAATTTATGTATTCGACCTTGAAGGATAGACCCTGCGCCTTTGAGGTGTGCACTCAGCCCCGAACCGGAACCATCTCCAAATCGTTGTTCGTATTCGAGCATTAGCCATAACGTTGCCAGAATAAGATCTAGCTCCCCAATTTGACCTGTATCCTCTGCTGCAGCAATAACGAGCAACCGCAGTGAGGCTCCATAGTGCTCGGCTGCTCGGACTCTGCGTGCGTGCTCCGTGGATGCATCAAGTTCACATTTCTGACGATCGAGAATACAAGATTGCTGAGCACCTAGAGCGCATATCATGTGGAGGACCATTGGACTGTGTATCGCGAGCTTCCACATTGTCGCGAGGACTGTAGTTTCAGGCTGTTTCCGGTCAATAGAAGGAGCTAGAACGAAACGGAAGCAGTGTATTGCCTCAGTATCAGATGCCTGAAGGATCTCGGCACATATTGCTGAGACTTCTGAGGCCGGTTCAAAGGCGACACCACTTGGTGGTGTCTCAAAGTTCGATGGCTCTCCCACGGGTGTATTGCTCTGCGAGGCTTGCAGAGGAGATACTT